TTTTTAATAGCAACCCTTAGGAATGCACTTGTTTTATTTTTTCCCTTTGGCTCATTAAAGACCTCATTTGCCATCACTGAACTGACACAGCAGTTCCAGCACAAAGTCTAAAAAATAAAACAGCTTTAGGTGCTAAACAAATTTTTTTAAATACAAATTCAGCCCACTTTCTGCACATAACATTCTGGTTCCTGACCACACAGTACCTGTGATTTTACCGTGTATTGTAAGACCTCTGTATGTGCATTGTCGGCTCGACAGACAAATGCATCTGCACAGACACGTTTTGCATCGACACGGAGGTTTTATAGGACACGAGAATTCAGTGAAATTGGAATAACGTGCCTGTCTTTGATGCACTTTATAAACTTACATTCGTACACGCACCCGGCAGTGCCCTGTGATGTAAACACACGTGGATAGACATCACAGGCACTTCATCCGAGGGCACGGACACCCACGAGCACGGCCGTTATCGCAGGCCAGGACTCAATCCCCGATTCCTGCGTCTCCTTTGGCACTTTGGCACCTCAAAGCTGCTGCTCTGCGGGCGAGAGCAGCCAGTCCTCACGTCAAAGCCCCGGCTCGATCCCCCTTTGCCAAGTTCCTGCCCAGGCCAAGGAGAGGACGCGCTTTGCGCTCGTTCCCTCTGTGCTTTTTCCCAAATAAATCACGCGGGCCGGGTGGGGGAATTGATAAATTATATTTGCAGAATTCGGATAATTTTTTTTTTTTTTAAGAGTAAAGCGATCTTAAATCCTCGGCAATTTTTGTTGAAGCGCTAATTACACATCACCTTAATTAGCGGATCAACCCCCCCTTCCCTGCCCAGCATCCCTAATTGCCTAATTGAACAGATCCGGGGCAGGACGGGGGGGGGGACCCAGCGACGGCGGGGACCCGGCGGCGGCCCCGCATCTGCGCGGGGCTCCGCACCCGCGGCGGTCCCGGGGAGAGGAGCCCGGGAGAGCCTCGGCGAGCTCCCGGTCCCGAGGGAAGGGGGAGCCGGGCCGGGCACGGCTCTCTCCGGGGTTGATGTCCGCCCTCGGGGCCCGGAGCTCTGGGTAGGGACAGGGCGCAGGAAAAGGCTTGGAAATGGGAAAAAAGCCTAAGCGGCCGAAAGCGCCATAAATTTTCCTCCTTCGTGTGTTCCAGCGTTGGAACCGTCTGTGGGAGCACAAATAGAGCCGCACGCCGGGAAGTGGCGCTTGGGCTGCAGCCTCTGCCTGCGCTGCTCTCCCGCTCCCTTTTCCCTCCACAGTCTCATCACCCTTAATCTAAAAAAAAAAAATAAATTATATATATATAATGTATATATATATGTATATCAGTAAACGGGAAGCCTGTCTCCTCCTCAAAGGCGAAGCCTTAAATCGAGAAGCAGGTCCCGGGGAGCGCAGGGCTGGATTCACAACCATTTCCCTGCCACTCCAGCCTGCCCGCAGGATGCACCGGCTCTGCCTGAAAACTCCGTCTCCAAACTTTGCCTCGGTCATATTCCTAATAGTGAAAAGCAAACGGGACCGTAGAAATATTGGCCACCGTTTGCCAGCACGAGCACTTATTTAGAGCCTGCGATCCTGGCCAACCGTGTGTGGCTGGGAATTATATTCGCACTCTGAAATTCAGGGATTTCGAAAGGAAACGAATTTGCTTTCGGCGTGCAGCACCCAACTCCGGTGTTGTTTGCCTCCTCTGCACCCTCTCCCCAGCAGCAGCGAGACCCTCGGCCGCTGCAGGACCTTCTCCCCACTCACCCATATTTTATTTTCTCGCTGAAGGGCGAGGCCCTCAGAGCCGGGACGCGGCGTGGCCTTCTCCTGCCTGCCCTTCTCCTGCCTGCCCCGGAGAATCGTCCCGCACATCCCCCGGAGCCGCGGGCACAGCCCGGCCCTGGCGGGATGCGCACCCAGGGGGGCTGCGGGGGCCCCGCTCACCTGGGCACCCCCGGGGCTGCTGCGCCCCCCGCACCCTGCCCGAGCCTCGGCTTTTGATTTACAGCCATTACTCGAGGCTCCCAAGCCAGAGGGAAGCCACAAAGCGAGCGAAAACCATTCCCGACCCCGGTTCAGCTCCGCTGCCTCCGGTACCTGCCGCTGTCCCGGGGAGCCGGACTGAAAATTGCCGAGAATTCCTCTCCCACCCCAGCGCACACGCGTTCGTCCCCTTTCCCAGCCAGGTAATAGAGTCGAATTCCCAGCGGAGCCTCACATCTGCTTAAAATATTGTCCAATGAAATGAAATTCTCCGGCACACCGTGTTTCTACTGCCCCGCGTCCCGCTCTGCTCGGCGGCCGCGCACCGGGGGCCGTGCGGGCTCTCACGGCACCCGCACCCGCTCGTGGGGCCGGAGAGCCCCGGAAGGGCAGCTGGGCAGGGACCTGCGGGGTTCTGAGCCGTAACCCAAGTTCTCGCTACCTCGCCGGTGGAAACACGGCGAGATCCCCACACTCGTGTCCGTGTTTAATCTGTTTCGCAAATAAATACTCCTGGGATATTGAAACCTTAGCTTCGGACTACTGTTTTGAACTGTGATCCCTAAAAAATCCTCAGCTGAAACCCCATAAACCGTTGGGCCTCGTATTGTATTAAACACCTGATTTTAATCAGGGCTCAGCCTCCGAACAGGCGCTTTCCAGGCGCGTTCGCGGCCGCTCCGCGGCTCCCGCGGCCGGGAAGGGCTCGCTCCCGGGCACGGAGCTCCCGGCTCTTCTCCGAGCACTCAAGATATCCAGGCACCGAAAAACTCCTAGTCCCTAAGCTGCAGAAGCTCGCAGAGCTCCCCGGGGGAGCCGGGGCAGCGTGGCGGGTCCCACCCGTGCTGAACGCGGCCGGACCCGCATCGCGCCCACGGGGGCACATCTGCAAAAACCCGGCCCCGCGCTGCACCCCCCGGGCATATCTGCAAACACAGCAGCAAAAAGAAAGAGAAGGAGGGGAGAAAAAAAAAAAAAAGGAGAAAAACCGAAAAGAATAAAAATAAAAGAAATATTCCACTTTATTCAACCATTCAACTTCGCTTTTCCAGTCAAGAGAGCTGTGAAAATTACTCTTCATTTTAACAACCTAAAGCAATAAGTGATGACTTTTTAAAAAGTTATTATTTGAATGGGGGCGTTTAAAGCGGGTGTTTACTGAAAAATAAAAAAAATGAAATGAAATTCCAGGATTAATCGAAAAAAACTTCGTCGCAGCGATGCGCTGACAGTGTTGACCACGGAAACTGTAACCAATCCCACCCTGAGCAGGGTTTGTGCCCGCAGAGCCGAGGAAGGTGTGCGGGGGGCACACGGACACGGTCGGGGAGCGGGGGGACCTTCGTGGAGCGCGACGGAAAATGTCGCTACACGAAGGTAAATCGCAAGGCCTGGGGCTGCTGCAAAACGGGAGCGGCGGCCGGAGCTCGGGGCCGGCGACAAACCCCGCGACAGAGCGACTTTGTGAGGAAAACTGGACCGAGGAGCCGCGCTGGGGGTGGAGAACGGGGTCCCCCCTGGAACTGGCGCGTCCCCCCCAGGAAGGGGAACTGCGGCTCATCGCGAGGGGCCGGGACCAGACCTGCCCGCTGACCTTGGCCGCTGGAAACGGCTCCGAATAACGAACTTGAACGACAAAATGAACCCCGGAGCCCACGTGTGCGAGCGCTGCGAACGCCCGGGACCCTTCGCCAGCCACGGTTTGAAGCTGAACCCCGAAGGGTGTCCGGCAGGGCCGTCAGCTGCCCCCCTCACCTGGGGGGATCCCCCTCACCCGGGGGGCTCATGGAGGGGGCTGCGAGGAGTCCCCCCCGCCCGGCTCTGGGCACCTCCACATCCCCCGGGAGGCTCCCGTGGAAACCCACGCGGGTTCAGCCGGAGCAGCCGCCGCTACTCCCCGGAGCCTCCTCCGGGCACTACGAGCAGAGTTTCTAGCGGGGCACAGACTGCGCTGGAACTTCTGCAGCCTCCAGATATTTCGCACAGAGCCAGAGCGAAACAGAAACTAAATAATAATAGTAATAATAATAGTAGTAGTAATAATAATAATAGTAGTAATAGTGATAATAATATACAAGAGGAGGACAGAAAAGCCGCCCGGGCTCCGGGATCCTGAGCTGCACCGAGCCTAAGAGGGAATCGGCGAGGAACCAGCCCGAGCCTTTGCAACGGGACTCTGCGGGAGCGGGGACAGAGAAGTCCCGCTCTTCCCTACAGAAGCCACACTCTCCTCCTCGGAAAATCCATTCTAAAAACGACTCGAACGAAAGAACGGGAAAGGGTCCGCTAGAAGACGGAGGGAAAAGCTGCGCGAGACTTACGAGCTGCAATTCCACCCCCAAGTAAATTTTAAAAAATTAAAAATTAAAGACACTCCCCCACACTCCCCTCCCCCAGACCTTCTTAACCCCCAGCTGGGACACCCGAGCTGCCTTCAGGATCTTCCCTCTGGACCTGCGACTCCAAAGCCCCTCACTGAGAGCGGATCCATTTTTGCTACAAATTCTCTTCCTTCCCTCTGCTCGATAATTGTTCCCGAGACCAGAAGGGTTTCTCCCACCCCCCCCGTCTGCCTCTGCCTGTCTCTCTCTCTCTCTCTCCCCCCTCTCTCCAGCGCTCCGTCTCTCCGCTCCCGCCGGCAGATGCCAAACGCAGACCTCTAGCGCCCACTATTTCAGGACCCGGGAATATTATTTCACAAGACTTGGAACGACTCAATAAAAAAAAAAAAAAAAAAAAAAAAAAAAAAAAAAAATGCTATCCCCTTTCGTCAACTTCCAGCTAAACTTTCGCTTTTCTCCCCCGGCCCCGCGCCGCCCGCCGCAGCGCGGGAGGGCGCGGGGCAGCGCGGAGCCGAGCGGGGCAGCGCGGGGGGACCCGCGCCCACGGGCGGGCGGGAGGGCGGCGGGGCTGCGGCCGCCGCGGGGAGGGCGAGAGGGGCTCGCAGCCCCCGCAGCCCCCGGCCCGGCTCCGCAACCCCGGCCCCGCCGCCGGCGCGCGGAAGAAGGGAGAGAAAGGACCTACTTTTGGGCAGTTTTCTCGCCCTCGCCTTGGATCTCATCGTGTCGGCGTGTGGATTCCTCTCCTCCTCCTTGAGCCCAGAAGCAGCTACACACTATCTTCATCTCCCCAGCATTGTCAGTTTGGACACCTTCGCACATGCGCACAGAGCATTCAATCTGACACCCTCACCAGGGCCAAAAAAACTTTCCAATGTATTCATCATCATCAGCCTGGTTTGGGCTTTTTTTTTTTTTTTTTTTTTTGCCTTTTTTTTTTTTTCCTGTCCTATCCTCTTCCTCAGACCACTTATCTCTGCCCCCTCCTCTCTCCCAGCACCCATCACAGCCTTCCCCTGATCTGCCCCTTTAAGAAAAATCAGCCCTCTCCGCTCCTCACCCTCCGCACACTGACCTTACACACTGGACAATATTTAAGGATCAAGGTGCCATCCTATAAAGAGGTGATTATCATTATATTATTATTACTACTATTATTATTACTACTACTAAATAGCAATGCTGAAGAGAGTTTAACAGATGTCATCTTGCAGTCGTAGTTTAGACATGCTTTTGTTTTTAGTCTGAAAAATATTTTTTTACGTAAAGTTTTCAACCAGCGTCTGTCTTTATTTTCTTCCCGTTTTTTTTTTCTTTTTTTAACCCTCTTCTCCTTTCTCGCCCCCTTTGGCTCGGGGGGGATTTCGCCTAACTTTAAGAAAAACAACTTTTAAAATAACAGAATTTGCGCTGTTGTGTTTTGTCGGTATTTCTCGTGTTTCTACCAGAATGTTTCGGCGCTCGGCGGCTTCTCCCCTTCTCCCCCGCTCGGGTTGTCGGTGTTTGCGGGCGTTTCGACCCCGGCCGCGGCCCCCACGTCGGGAGGGCCCCGGGCCCCGCACCCCGTCGGGAGGGGACGGGGAGGGAGGGCGGCCGCTCCCCTCCGCCTTCCAGGTGGAAGGAAAGCAGCGCTCCGGGGCAGCGCTCCCCAGGGACGGGGGAAGCCGGGAGACACCCGAGGAGAGGGGGGAGAGGAAGGACAGACACCCCCGGAGCGTCGGGGAGCCCCGCAGGACCTGCCCACCCCCCCGGAGCGGAGGTAGCGAGAGCCCGGGCAGAGCCGCTTTGAAGAGAGGAGCGAAGTGTAAATAGCCGGTGATTGATGTGCTGGCTTTGACTGCGGAGAAAGCACTATTTTAATTCAAGTGGCCAGGTCAGATGGTCACGGAAGAAGGTTGAAAGGTAGGATTTAATGAGATTAATATGGAGAGAGGGAGAAACGCGCGCCTTCCTAAACATTCCATAAAATATTGGGGCGAGGGGAGCGCGGCGTCCCCGCTGGAGGTGCGGACCCGTCCCGGGGAGACCCGGGAGCCCTGGCACCGAAGGGCACCGCAAAAACAAAGCAAAACTTGTGCGGGTGCGTCAGGTCCCTGCTGGAAGCCATTCCGCCAGCTGCACTCCTGCCCTGCAGGTGGAACTGGGGAGGGGGGAATATTCCTGCTAATTACCGGTTTTCCCCTCCTCAATAAACTCTTTAATTGCAAATGGGAGCGGGGGCCTTTCAGATGCTACCGAGGAGCCGCGTTCGAGGGCAGGGTGGGGGAGCAGGAGGCCAAATAAAATCAATCCGTTTGAAGGGAACTTGGAGCCACGTGTCGCCTAAAATGCCGAAGAGGTGCCTGTGAATTCCTGCCTCGAGGACGCCGTTCCACGGCGCGGCGGGCACCCCGAGGTTGGAAAAACAAGCTCTTCCCAGCCTCACCGGTGAAACAGGAGCTCGAATGTTTCCAACTCATTGCAATATTTCTTCCAGCGCTCCTGGACGCTCACTGTCCCCGCGTCCCCCACCGAGCTGCTCCCGGGACGGACGGATTTCAGTCTGAAAACGTCGTCCCGGGTTATTTGTCCCTGTTATTACAGCGGTCTTCTGGCAGAAGACAGAGTAAAGCCGGGAGACCCACGGCTGGCGAGGGGAGAATGTCCCGGTCGCCGCGTCCCCTTCCCCGAGCCGGGGGACGAAGGGCACGGAGGGCCCGCAGCACCGGGCCGGGACCGCGGCCGTGCCCCCCCCGCAGCCCCGGCCCGGCACAACCCCTGCTTTTGTTTTCTTGCCAAACCCTCCTGCATCCCCAGCATTCCGATTCCCCCGGGAATCGGCTCCTGCGGTAAATAGCCAAGCTCCAGCGGACCCGCTCGCAGATATTTAGGGAGACGCAAAACGCTTTCGGGGGCGCACGAGGGGTGTGGGGGGGTTCGACCGTGGTTTTGGTGATGCTTCTGCCAACGAAGCCACCGAGAAGCGGCCCCGCCGGGTCTGTCCGAGCCGCTGCGGCCGTTCCTGCCGGGCTGGAGCGGGGCTCCCGCGGCCACCGGCGGGCACCGAGCGGGGCCGGGCTGAGCGGCGCTTCGCCGGGCCGGGAAAGGGGGAAAACGGAGGGGGGAAAAAAGCCCTAAAATAAAAATGCGTGGGAAAAAAAGGGGGGAAAAATTAGAGAACGAATTCTGAAGGGCCGGTGCCGGGGTGTGCCGGCGGTGGGCTGCGGGGCGTGGGGGAGAGGACACGCTGCCACCCCCCACACGAGTGGGGTCTCTTCCCGCACCAGGCACAGACGGGTGATTGCGGTTCAGCCCCCGGGAACGGGCCCCGTTTCCCCCGCTCGCTTTAAGCCAAAACAGCTCGAGAGGCTGCAGGGCCGGTGGCGAGGGCAGGGGCCGGGGCGCTCCGGGGACGGCGTGTCCTCGGGACACGCTCCTGTGCCCACCGAGGGTCGTTCCTCGCTGCATCCCAGCACCGAGACCCCCGTGGAAGGAGAGGGGCTCCTGGGGTTCAGCAAACCCCCGGAGCGAGGTGTGCGGCCCGGGCAGGGAGAGCCTCACAGTCCCCCGGAATCCCCGAAGCTCCCCCATCCCACCGGGTGAGCATCCCGGGGCGGCCACCGGCTTTTCCAGCCTGCACCTGTTTGAGTGCGTGTCGCTTCCACGGGGAACAGCAAACTAATTAGCGGGGAGGGAGGGAGAAGCACCAGGAAGCTTCTCGGCTCTCCCGGGTCAGGCCGGGTGGCTGCCAAGGAGCCGGGGCCCTGCCCGGCCTGCAGACACGCGTGCTCCGCCACTTCCCGAGGAACTCTGCCCACGGCGGGCCTGGGGCACCCCGGGGGTGGTTGAAGGGAAAAACGATTCCCTCTGAGGTGGCCGAATTTCCACCGAGCCTTAATAACTGTCTCTTCCAGGGAAAGCAGCAGACATGCCCCTCTGCACCACACGCGTGGCAGGGGACAGGGACCCGCAGTGCCCCAAGGGCGGCACGGCCCGGGGTGAGGATGGGGGGGCTGGGGGCACAAGCGAGCGAGCGGTACCAAAACGCGCCTGTTCAGAGTTTATCCCCTCCGCCCTCGCCCCTCTTTGTGCCTCCATCCCGCTCCTCTCCCCGCTAATGGACATTTCATCCCGCGGCCCCCGCAGCGCGGGGGGGTCCCCGCAGCTCTGGGGAGGGGGCGTTGGAGCGGCGGGAATTTATGGGTGGGTTCCCTGGCATCAGCACTAAAAGCCATGTGTTCCCAGGTACTTTACAAGGCCGGCTTGGAACACACTCTCCAGGTGAAGCGCTGCGTGGCAGCCGCCCGGCTCGGCTCCCTTCGGGGCCCTCCCGGGAGCGCCGGGCTCGGGTGGGCACCCACGGGCAGCGGGGGCACGGGAGAAGGGAAAGGCGCTTTGCGAGCTGTTTTGCACAAGTGCTTTTTAAGCAGTAAAGAAGATTAGAATGGTTGCGCTAGTCCGGCTTGTCCGGGAGCTGCCGCACACCCCGAGTAACCCCTTCCCAAGGATTTTCGCATAAATCACTCTTTGTTCCCGCGCACGGCTGCGGCGGGATTAAATCAAGAATTAATATTTTCAACTACGCAAGAGCCCGGTGGCACAGGACGGGGCTGCCCTCCGCGGGGTCAGCGAGCCCCGCGCAGATCAGGCGGTAAGAATTGTCACACGCTTCCCGAGGGATTTTCCCTCCTAATCTGCCCTTAATAAGCGGAGGAAGCGCACCCACGGGGGGACGAGGGGCTGCCTCGCAGCCACGCCGTGGAGCAGCGTGCCGCTCGTCCCCCGCCGCCAGGGAATTCCAACACCTTTGGGACGCGGTCCCTGCGTGGAGCCGGCGCAAGGGGGCGGTTCAGGACAGGCGGGAGCCCCGGGGGTCCGGGGGGAGCCCCCGCCGAGCATCCTCCGCCCCGGGCCGCCGCCGGGGACACTCGGTTTGCGTCCCCAGCAGCGGCTCCGCTGGAGGCCGGGGCGAGGCGAAAGACATAAAAATAACAAAATTAAAACTCTCCGAGGGTGGCTGCGGCCCCCCCGCGCTGAGGGTCCCCCCGTTCCCGGGCTCACACCCGCTCCACACGCAGGTGGAGGGTGACCGAGGCTCAGTGCCAGAGTCACATCCTCCACCCGCCAGACCCCGGCAGGTCCTTTCCTGAACTGACCCATTTACACACTCATTGGTTCAAATCAGTATTTTACCCGAAAACCTTTGAGAAGCGCCGGAACAAGCACCACCGAGAAAGACAGAAATGGCTGCATTTTGTTGGGGGTGGGGAGGGGGGAAGAAGAAATTAAATCACTCTTTCTGGTCCTCTTAGCGATGAAATACAGAGGGGAAAGGTTAATATCGCTGCAGAACCTGTGCCTGCACGTCACTGTCCTGTACCTCACTGCTCTGATATTCCCCTGCACTGAAACCCGTCTGTGCATCAAAATGAGGTTATGAGACTATTTTTTTTTTCTTATTTCTAGAAGAAATCGCTGGCTCCTCTGGCCATGAAAAAACAGCGTGTAAATTGCCATTTCAGATTTTTCAAAAAACATGTTCAGCTCTAAGAATTCTTCCGAATTCGTTACACTCCGCCGCGCGAGGCTGCGCCTTGATGGCCCCGGCGAAGGTAAAAATGCACGTCGTAAAATAAGTCTTAAAAAAAAGAAAAGCACCATTTACATTTGAATATCTAACTTGAACAGGATTATAGTTACAATCGTCAGAGATCGAGCAATGTTGTCTCCAAAACGGCAGCCCATGAACAGACAGTTTCGGGGATGTAAACACAGTAGATTTAATCGTGACGGTCTCTGGGAATGAAGGGAAATTAAGGAGTTATAGCAATTTTTTTAGACGTTTGATCAAAATATTTTTGCCCGGAGATCGCTTGCCAAATGAAAGCAAAATGGAAACGATGGGCGCTGTAATTCAGCAGTTTTGTCATGGAAAGAGCTCAAAGTCCCCGGTCTCTCAGGGCAGGGGGTTCTCCCTCGCCCGGGGCTTTGGGGAAGGTTCTCTCCCTGCGGGAGGGGACCCTGGGAAACAAATGTTGGGGAAGTAATTTTCGATCAAGCGTTTTTCAGCCGAAATACCGTATACTGAAGGCACTAAAACGATCTATGTTCGCCTTTCCCCCCGGAATTAACAGAACTCCCCTAATTTAAGGCTTCCATCGAGCTGCAGCACCCAGCGGGGTTGGGGTCCATTAATCCTCTCGCGGCACCGGCCCAGGGGCTCCCTTGGCCGGGGGACCCCCCGCTCCCCCGGGCCAGGCCCGCTGTACATTACTGGCTGTAATTAAGTGTTCTGGGGGCAGAGTGGAGGGGGTGTGAGCGAACCGCAGCCCCCCCAATACCATTTGCTGTCCTGCCAGAGACCGGCTCGGAACCCTCCCCGCGAACACCGCCCGCTCTGGGGGTGACTCCCCTCCCCGGGGGATCCCCCGGAGATGCCCCCTCGCTCCCCGGGATCGGTCCCCGAAGCACAGAGCGGTGCTGCCCTAACCCGACGGGGGGGACACTCGAGCGGTCCCGCTTCCCCTCCGCCTTCCCCGGGCACCGCCGGGCTGGGGTGCGGAGCCCCCGCCGCGGAGGGTGCGGGGCCGGGGGTGCGGAGCCCCCGCCGGTTACGAGCCGGCTTTGTTTGCGCTTCCCCGGCTAAGGACGGCCGGGGCGGAGCTGCCCGGATAATTATTAGCTATTAATTGAGTTCAAGACCTTTTATGGCGATGGGAAATGAGGAGCCCGACCACTAATCCCGAGGAGGGGCTGCGCGCAGCCAAGAGCCGCGAACGCGCCGTCCAGGGCTGGCCTGACACAATGTCCCGGGGGCGGAGGGGGAGAGGAACGAAAAAATTCATTAGGTGAAAATTACAGCAACTTTAAACGGAGGGATTTATTTAGGAGACACCTTTGGGAGCTGCCGCCGAGAGCGGGGGGAGAGGGGCGAGAGCCCCCGGCGCTGCCCGACGGGGCGGATCCAGGGCTGCCCCGGGCAAGGTGAGGAGCGACGGCCTGGCCTCCCCCCCGGGCCCCCAGGGAGCAGCGGGGCTGCTCTTACCGATTCCGTTTCCTTATCTTTACACGCTTCCACCTTCCAATTAAACTTCCCCAAATTGCCAAAAGCCTGATTTGCATGCAAGGGACCCCGCTCAAAGATGCTAACTTATTGTCTCCTCCCAGAACTTAACATTTCTCTCTTCAGTTCCCACTTGAAAGAAGTTTTAGAACAGTATTCAAAGACTGTCCAAACGAACAAAACCTTCCCCTTCGCTCGGGAGAGAAATCCGGTGTATTCAATACGAGGGCATATTCTCAAAAGTTTGCAGATTTGGGTTTAAAGGCGGTATTGTTCGTGCCTTTTTCCTGAAACTTCTTTAGTTTTTCCCCCCTCAGCGCGCGGCTCACATGCCTGCAAAGGATTATTAAAATAAAACATCATAGAGCATTTTTTCCCCTTTTTTTTTTTTCTACTGTTTAGAATTACTTTTCTGGAAGAGCTTTCCAAGCATCCCCCCCCCCCCGCAAGTCATAATTAAGAACACTTTTTTTCTAACAACAGGAAAAGTAAAGAATCAAACCGGTCCCCGAATACGCCTTTTTTCTTTAAACACTAACAGAGTTCTAAAGCCGGAAATATTTATCTGTTCCAAATACACCTGAAGAAAAACCTCTCGGTGCTGGATAAACGCTGCTCTTCTGCAGCAGAAGGAATTAAAACGGCGAGATTTTGATACCAGGAAGATCTCTAAACGCGAACCTCAATTCTTACTGGGTTTGCAAAACCTGTTTACAAGGCGACATGATCTCTGCCTTCGAACACTCCCTCACACACACACGCCCCCGCTGTTGTCTTTTTAGGATTAAAAGAAGATGATCCAACGGGCTAAGGATGTAAAAGTCCTCTTGGGAAAGCGATAAACTGCAAAAAGCCAGTGGCAACTCATTTCTGATTAACTCCTTTTTACAAAGGGGCGGAATGGAAGCGAACAGGGACCCGACGGGACACGAACATATTTTATTCATTTAATACAAAGCAGCTTTAAAAAAAAAAAAAATCTTTAAAAAGGCAGTTCAGAGCATAACTCACGGGCCGGGGGGGAAGGCAAAAACCTGATGGGGTGTGAGGTGATGTCGCCGTCATCCCTCGCTCCCGGGAGAGCGGGCAGCGCTCCGGGCAGCGGGAGGGACGCGCTCCCCGGGCTGCGGGGCTGGGGGGGACACACAGCCCTGGACCCCCGGCCAGCCCCAGGGGGGGCAGCCCCTTTGCTGGGGACCCCCCCAGCAGGACCCCGGCTCTCCCCGCTCCCCTTAAAGGCGGAATCAATGAAATCATGTAAGTGCCCGGAGCACAAAGAGCTCCTGTCCTCGGCTCTGCAGATCATAACCAGAGATGGGAAAGTATTTACAGCACCCTCCGAGTGACTGGGCCATCGCTACCAAAAAAATAATATTTTTAACCACAGGGAACCGAGAGTTCACGTAGATTTACAAATTAATGAGGACTTACTGGAGAAAGTAACTGCAAGAACATGTGTTAAAACGCAACAGAAAGAATTCCATCGATTTCCATGAGAGGTGGACTGCATCCAGGAAGAATGAGTCAACTTCATTCCTTGGGCAAAACTCACGAACTGAAGAGAATTACTGCAGGCATGCATTTGGATCACCCCGCGTCCCCCCAGTTCATGTATTGCTGTCCCACTAACTACCTCTTAAATGCTGTGATGGGTTAGAACGGGGTGGGGATTCCTCTAAAGAATGCTTTTAATCACTGGGAACTGATGTTTGAACAAATATATTTCCCCCACAATATCACATCAGTCACGAGTAACTGTTCAGCCAAAAAGGCTCTCGCAAGACAACACAACGCAGTGCAGGACAGAACAGCTCAGGGCACCAGGAGGAACAGTCTTTCACACATCACAGGGACTCACTCCTGTGTTCTACCTGTTTGTCCTGCTGCTAAATCTCGTTTCTCCTCTCCCCACAATTTGAGTGTTAAATTGTGCAAGGTTTTGGTTTCGTTTCCGTGGAGGAGGTGAAAACTCTTGAAGCCACTGAAAAGTTTCCTCCCCAGCCCCATTCCCCTGCTGCAGGGAGGTGCTGTTCCCCTCAGGGGAACGAGCAGCACCTTGAACTGAGAGAGAAACCCTTCTCCAGTCACACATGCACATTGCCCGTGTTTTATTTTACAGGTGGAGGAACGAACTACCCGTTAATTTAAGAGATTTGGGTTGAAACCTCAGAACACTGTGATGGGAGCAATGAGGAGACAAACCCTGACACACTCTCAGAGTTCTGCTCTTTGCCTTCAGAAGCCCCAAGTTTCACACAGACCCTCCCATAACTTCTATTAACACACAGAGGGCATGTCAAACATTTAGAAACAAGGTCATCACATTTCTCAGCCTTACTGGTGGCTTTTTAGCCCACAAATTTCCCACATGAGAGCTCTTGGCAGTCCCACAGGAGCGCCACAGGTTTGTTGTTGAAAATAAGTGAGGTGCAGCTCGTGATAAGATAATCAATGAACAGTTAAAAACCAAGCTCCAATGACATGGTTAGAAAATTAAATGCAAATATATACAAACTAGTCAATGGTTTCTATGAACATAAATGTCTGTCTACCTCATGACTGCTATTTTCCAGCCAGCTTTCCAACCAGTGCAGTCTTTGCACTCCTCTATCTACAATTGTACCATTTATAAGCCAGGAGCCCACCTCGCCCATGTGCTTGTTCCTACAGTGACTCATGTTCCACTGGGTTTTATTCCTGTGAAGACTCGTGCTGAACCAGAGGAAAGAGTAGAACCTTTGGGGAAGGAATGGCATGGTTTGGAAAGCATCAGACACACTCACTGCTCCCTGTCAGAAAATGAAAGCTCTGGTTTACATCTCATGTGAGAAAATGGCCTTAAAAATAAAATATTGCTTTGATAACTGGGTCAAAAGTCTTGCTGAACAATACTGGGATGGGTTGCCCAGAGAAGCTGTGGCTGCCCCATCCCTGGAAGTGTCCAAGGCCAAGCTGGACAAGGCTTGGAGCAACCTGGGCTAGTGGAAGGTGTCCCTGCCCATGGCAGGATGAGCTTTAAGGTCCTTCCCAACCCAAACCATTCTGGGTTAGATTCCATGCTAACAGAAGGAAATAAAATTTCAAAAAAAAAAAGGATGAAGTGTTTTATACAAAAGCAGCACAGCAAGCTGCAGACTTGAGTCCATTTGACAGGAAAGGACATCTCATTTTTTCAGGCCTTCCCCTCAGCATTGTGTCCCATTCATTCACTGTGCTCAAGGTGCCCACTCATTGCTGGAAGAGCAGCTTCCAGACTCACTGGAGAAAGAATAGAGGAGCAAAGTGTGCTACAGGTACAAGCAGGTTACTCACATCCTCAGAGCCACAACAAAGCTGTGCAGGAGGATTGGGAAGAGCTCCTGCTCTGAGAACAAGTCACTTTTGAATTTGCCAAACCACAGCAAAGAGCAGAGGGCTCGGGCACCTCACACCAACCCAGCCCAGCAGATGCTCTGGCTCTGAGCCCTGGGCTCACACAGGGTGTTCTCAGACAGAGAGCCCGTGCACACACACTGCCACCAGCTCCAAAAACCCTGGGTGACTCTCAACACCCCCTCAGAGCACAGCAGCACCGGTTCCTGACAGACACCTCCCCATGGTTCCACCCCAGATTCTCTCAGTGCCCTCAAAGATACATCACGAGTTGCTCCACTGCCACTCAGCTGCAGTTTTGCTCCTTCAGTATAAATGAGATGGGGAAATAGTTTCATTTCTCTGAAGTATAAAGTTAAATAGAGTGAACTGAGAAGTTTCTTGAAAAATAATGGAGTGAGATCATCCATACAATGATTTAAATATGTTAAGGAAAGCCCTGTCTGATCATCCAGGAGCTGTCTGGCAGCCACACTCCCACCACCAGAGACCTTCCCTGCTGGGACTGAAGCCCTTCCCAGCAGAAATCAAGAGCTGTGTTGTCAGGGTTGTCATTCACCAGGACACTGCTGGTTCCCCCCACCCTTAAACACACCCCAACCCACACTAAACTGTTCATTTGCTTATCACTCAGGTTGCTGGAAAGTCATAGTTCTGACAGCTACACCAGACATTTTCTCACTGTTCATACATGCTGATATCACACGAGGAAATTCTGGATTCTTCTGTATAAATAATAAATTTATCATACCCATGGTGCATATATGGAAAATACTCAGACACCCTTAGTCATATAAACTGTCCCAAGCTCACAGAAGTAAGAGATGATCTATTAAAGAATAACCAAAACCCAGGACACATCATCCAAGAACAGAACCACAACTCAAAGTTATTCAATGGGTAAACCCAATATTTTTGTCACTCAAGTGGTTGCATTTTGTCAAGAAAAAAAAATCTCAATAAAAGAATTTTATTCTGGTAGGATGAGAAAAATGCTAAACATGTTTTTATGGGAGAAACAGAGATAGAGCACTGGCTTGAAAACTGAAAATCTCTCATGCCCTGATCTATAAATAAAACTCCTTGGGTTTTTCTTTTGTACTAAATTTAAAGGAAAGCCTTTTCCATGGAGAGTTTTCTTTAAAGCAGACTATGCCCCAAAAGGACTTTAACGATGGTGTTTCCAGCAAGCAGCATGAATGAATTAAACAATAAATGCAGGCAGGAGCAGCTGTGTGTTCCTTTACCAGAAGCAGATGGATGTGCAGTTCAAACACAGGGGTCTCACAAGAGGACGGTTCCAGACAGTTCTCACCCACACCACAACCACAGTTTTCCTTCCCCCTCTGCTCCAGGGCCTGGGCTCAGGTGCCATTTGCCCTCCAGCATCACAAAGAGCTCCAAGGTTGGCACCAGCGACCATCAAGCAGAAATCTCACATTTTGTTACACAAAAAACCATCAAATTATTGATCTCTTTCACCTGTTTATCCACAGGCTACAGGGGAAGAGGTGAGGAGAGACACTCAGCCCTCCTTGGCACACTCAGGTCAGCTCCATCCTCAGCTCAGAGCAGCCAGAGCCTCACTGCCTGTCTTCACACAACTCCTGCCCTTCACAGATAAACTCAAGATCTTCTGGAATTACTCAGTCTGGAAGCCCCCAGGGTCTCTCTCCTCCTCACAAAAATCTCACAGCCACCTCCCTGGAGCCACAAGTTTCAAACCAACCAACTCTGAGGGACACCAACACTGTCTGCTGCAATTCATCTGCCTTAATGTGAAATGCTGGGATGCTCTGGCACTACAGCAGAGCCCCATGTCCTGTCCAAGAACACCAACCTTTGCTCACCAGCCTGGCAACAGCCACCAATTATTGTCACCTGGCATTTCACATCAACACTGCCACCTTCATTGCCTGCCCAAACTCTGACCCAGAACTGCTGAAAATGCACCATTTCACACCCAAAACAACAGCATTTCAGCCAGAGCAGAGGACAATAATTCAGCTTGCCCAAATCACTTTCTGTATTAGTTCCACTTGCTACCACTCTCAAGCCTTCCCATCCTTGACCTTTTATAGGAAAGAAATAACATTTTTCCTACCTGCTGTTTTCTTCTTTCTCTGCAGAGAAGAGGTTTCTGCTGGCACAGGGGAGTTGGGCACCCACACCAACAACATCAGGACCCAGCAGACCTGTAAGAAACATTGAAGTTGAGGCAAACAGCTCATCCCCTTGCAGCTTCCCCCAGTCCCACCCCAGTCTTTGCTAGAGAGGCAGATCCTCCAAAACTCAGGAGTTTTAACAGAGTAAGAAACCCCCCAAACATTGCAAAGGTTCCTGCTGGCACCATCTGGGCCTTTGCTGGGGGCAGGTTTTGCAGCCCAGGGTTAGTGGTGCAGGACAGACTCAGAACAGGATTTTGGGGCTGTAACTCAGATTCTCTGCCCCGTCCCTGTGAACCACCCCCAGTTTATCCCCCCAAAGGAGCTGGAGAACACACAAACCTCAAAGAGAACGTGGAGCCTCCAGTTTGCAGGTCAGTGCAGCGAGGAGCCCACGGGCAGCAGGACCTTCCCTCAGAGAGAACAGAACCTTCTGGAAGCCCCCAGAGCCCCCTTTGTAGAGCTAATTGATGAAGGTAATTGGAGTCAGGTGTGTGGGCCAGGTGGATTCTATTCAGTTCATCAGGGCAGGTGCTGGTGATGAAGGGCTGGGATGACCCCACTGCCCCTGTCCCTGCCTGGGGAGCCCTGAGCCAGGGACAGCCCCACACACAGTGGCTGCCACACCTGGGGTGGCCCCTTGGCATGGGGAGGGAATTCCTCTGGCAGGGACTGAGAAGCTCAAGAGAAAATTGCTGCCTGAGCACCACCTGGTCTGGTGGAAACTGTCCCAGCCCATGGCAGGGGATTGGAATGAGATGATCTTTAAGGTCTCTTCCAACCCAAATTGTTCCAAGATTCTTTGGTTCTCCAGCCACTGACTGACTGGAGAGATCCCTGTTGTGTGTTCTGAGAAATGGAGATTCATTACATTACAAAGAGAGAAAACCCACACATGTTTAAACAGCTCACCAAGGCTAAAGAGAGGCAACTAATGAATCTTAGGTGGGCTGCCAGTAATTCCCAGAGATATAAAGCACATCTTGGGTCACTGAAATAACAGCTCCTCCTTCCCCCCATATGCTTATGGTGACCTGGGAAAGGCAACTCTGGCAGCACTGGGGAATGTGGGACAGATGGGTTAACTGTGATGTATCCCAAAGGCTCTGTACTTCATACTCATTAATACTCATTATATTTCCAATCCTTAAAATCTCCTATTTGAGGTAACTGTCTGTTTTGTAAGTCCAAAGACTGAACTTCCCCCTCCACACTCTGCAAACCCTTGAACCGTCCCATCATTCGACCTGCTGATATTTTCTGTTTCCAGAGGAGAGCAGGAACACTGAAAAGAAAAAATAAAAAAGAGTCTTTCCCAGCAAATTCTGATGTATAGGATGTGACATAATGGTGCAAAAACTTCTTGCAGAACCCAGGGATTTTAAATTGCTCTGCTGGATTTTGCTGTGGTGGGAGGTTTAATGTGCTGCACTTTGCCTCCGACTCAGGCGGCAGAGCAGACACTCACCTCGAGTGTGGGACAGGCAGGGAGAAAACAATTTTCCAGGCAGAAATATATTGAGTTCAGAACACTGTTTATAGGCTACAGTAAACAGAAGTGTTTGATGTAATGGGGCTCTCTGGCTACCAGGGAACCTTGGCGGGGCCCCCACACCGCAGGGAAGTGGTGGTGATGAGGTGGCAGGTACACGCTGCAGGGAGGTGAGAGGGGACACAACTTGATTTCCCTTCTTACAGAACAATTTGCTGGGCTCTCTGTATTTCCCTGGGCCCTGTCAGGGCAGGAACAGCTCTCTGAGGCACAGGCAGGGCTGTCTTCCCCCGTGGGGCTCCGGGAGGTGACGGGGTTCGGGTCCCACCTCTGCACAGAGGGGGTTTCTGCAGCCTTGGCTCCTTCAGCAGGGCCTGACTGGCCACAGGGAGCTGTGGGTTGGGAAGGGGTAGCTTGAGCGTGATCCCCTCTTAAATCCCCCCCATAAATAAAGCAGTGAATTTAGAGGGGCTGTTCCCCTGCAGGATGCTCCTCAGGAGAGGGTAGAAGGTTCCCAGTGAGAAATAACTTTGTTATATGACCATGGTGTCCTTAATGTGACCTCATTTGCTTTATTCCCTGTGCCTTGGTGCAGGGTAGATGCTCCTGCCATGATTTGCATTTGAAGCATCTTCCCTGAGCACCTTCATCCCCTCACAGTTCCCAGCAATCCGGCCTCTGCAGGACCTTCAAACCCCATGGAACATCTTCCAGGAGGAATTCCTTCACAGAAAGGACTGTCAGGCACTGGAAGGGGCTGCCCAGGGAGGTTTGGAGTCCCCAGCCCTGGAGGTGTCCAAGGAAGGGCTGGCAGTGGCACTCAGTGCTCTGGGCT